GCTCCTGGGTTTCATTCCAGGTTCCTACTACAAGTTTCAGATCTTGAAATCATCAGCTGAATCCAAATCAGACCTGTCTCCTTCCTGTCTCCTATTCCTGCCTTTGCTTTGGTCTTTACTCAGAACCCCTTTCAAAATTTGCTTATTCTTCCTCTGGAAGCATCTGGTGGTCACATTATGATTTAAACTTCTGCTTTTTCAGCAAAGTGCAAATCTTTTGGTTCAGTGTCCCCATTTTAGATGAAAAGTTGGGATTTAAAACTAGCACATCTGTGTGTGGGAGTCTAAAAAATATAAAACATAATGGTACAGTATAACAGCTTGCCTATGAAAAGAAATGCGCCATTAATTTGAATTTTTGCTGATGCCTTATTTTTTTCATGAACTTTATATCTGGCCAAGAAAGAAATATACTGTGGCAGAAAGAATATGATTTTGAAGTTGAACAGATTTAGAGAAACAGTGGGGCATGGGCACAATTCCCCTAGTGCCTGCATATTCTCTGCTCGGCCTCATCAAACCCATTTTCTTACAGAATTGGAGCAAGGTCCACCCTCCTTGCTCTCAACCGCGTGGAGGGCTGAGTGAGGCCCTGGGGACCGCCCTGATTTCTCCTGGTTTCTGTGTAGCCTGAGATTCCTCCAGGTACAGAAAATCTTTTTCCACAATAGTAGCAAAGCTCAAAATGCAAATATCTCCAATTACATAATGTGTCAACTCCAGCAGAAACCTCTGTGTTCTGTAGTAAATGATTTTACTACGGGTCCTTTCCCTAATGTGGGCTTTGAGAGGGAAGACAGCCAGGAAGAGCACATGAGATCGGAGAGCTGTTGCTATGGTGAAAGCAAAATGCACAAGATAGAAATTGGAAAATCCTGAAGACCCACACTTCCTCTTTCTTCGTTTAAAAAGCAAGGCCCTAAACTTTTGGGCCTATTAAATAATCTGATCTACAGGCCCCCAGCAGTGTAATACAATCCACATTTCACAGAAGAGGAGACTGAAGTCCAATGAGGTCAATCAGTTTATCAAAGTCCATGCAACTGGAAGAGGGCTGGGACAGGACTTGTACGAATGTCTGTCTGACTCCACAACCCTGGTATCTTGACCTTCAGCCAAAGAGAAATAAAGAAAGACACAGTTGGAGGGAGTCTAGCTTACTAAATTCATCTTGGTGGAGGCTTTAAGGTAGTTTTGCATTATATTGCTCCATCATTCTCTGGACAGCCATGAGCCCAGTGCTGGTTCACAGCTACCCCCCCTGATTACCAGGGATCTTGCTCTTGTCCTGTTGTCTGGGTAGACCGCACCCATGGAGGGCCTAGTGCCCTGTGCTAATCAGGATTAGGGTATGACCCTCAATACAGGAGCCAATCCCTGAATTTGTCCATGCCTCAGTTCTCCCATCTGAAACATCAGGAGGATGAATTGGATGACTGGTTCTCCATCTTTGCTCTACATCAAAATTCTAGGCAGCATTTTTCAGATCATATCCTATACCAATTAAATTGAAATTTTCATGGGTAAGATCCAGGCATTTGCATTTTAAAATCTTCCCAGATGATTCCTGTGTACAGTTAAATTTGAGAATCAGGGGATTAAATGACTTCTAAGGCTCTTCCAGATGTTATGTATTATTCTGTCAACATCTGCATGTGAACCCCATGACACTAGGGAGCTGATAGGTCTGACCGTGTGCCCAAGCCCCCCGCCAGTTCCTGAGTGCCCAGAGAAATCACAGCCCATTCCTACATCCTGCAGAGCTCCCACCTGAGCCCAGGAACAATGCCTGTTCTGTAAGACACGACACAGCCCGCTCATACTCAGCCATTCTTGTTCCCTCAGTGGCAAGCCACCCGCCTCGCATCACCCCATCTAAGTTCCTCTCCCTAACTCCCCTATCCTATCCATAAAAGACCCAGCTCAATAAACTGGACTCGGACTCTCCTTTGGAGTTACTAATGGAGGTTCCCCCTAGACCTCTTAAATTCAAGCTGGCTGTGTTCCTTACTGGGTCTTCACCATTTTCCTAACACAGACATCCATGGAAAACCCTCCACGAGGGTCCACACTCAATTTTTCCAGAGAAAGTTTCTTCACTGGAGTTTACTTAATAATATAATCTTTGGAATATATTTGATGATCTAAACATACAATGGTCTTTCCTGATTTTAAGAAAGAGGAAGATTAATGGCATAGTGGAACTATTCATATATCCTTGTATTAATTATTACTCTAGAGTTTGCTCCAAATTGTACTATACACACACACACACACACACACACACACATATATATATATATATATATATATATATATATATTTCCCAGTACTAAATAAGCTCTCATTTGATCTGAAAACTACTAAATTCCAGCTGAATTCTAAGAGGTGAATAGTGGCTTTAAGAGCTTCTAGTTGACTGTTATAGTTTTTTTTTTTTTTCTTTTTTTTTTTTTCTTTTTGGTTGTTTGAAACAAGGTCTTGCTATGCAGTTCAGGTTGTCCTTGAATTCATTATGTAGCCCAGGCTGGCCTCAAACTTGAAGCAAACTTCCTGCCTCATCTTCTCCAGTACTGGGATTACAGGTGTGTGCCACCATACCCAGCTTGGCTATTATAGTTTAAATCTGAAATCTCCCCCAAGACTCATGTATTGAGGGCTGGATCCTGAGTGCAGCAATATTCAGGGGTGGAGTTAGAGGAGGTTGGATCATGAGGGCACCGCCCTCTTTAATGAAATGATCCACTGAGGAGAGGAGTTCATAGTTGCATAGACTCTGGTTGAACGGAATAGGTCACAAGGGAATGGCCATGGGGACTGGATGTGGTTCTTGGTCCTTTTCTCCCTGGACCTTTCCCCTCTCTGCTTCCAGGTGCCATGAGGCAAGCAGTTTTGCTTCACCATGCCCTGCTGTGATGTTCTGCTTCTCCACAACCCTAAAGTGAGGGAGTCAGCCGACTGTGGATGGAAACTTGTGAAACTGTGAGCCAAAATAAATCTTCCTCCTTCAGATTGTATGCCAAGTGTTTCATCCCAGCCACAGAAAGGTGACTAACACAGTAGTGATAATAACAGAAACAACAGCTGCAGCAACCATGATTTGAAAACACTTATTTTGTGTCAGGCAATGGGACACTCATTCTTTAGATCGTCCCAACACTGCTACATAAGCATCATTGTCTTCATTTTATTTCTGAGGAGACTAAGGCCTAGAAAGATTGTGTCTCTTACCAAGGTCACACAGCTAAGAAGTAGCTAATAATCTTCTATTCTGAACCTGTACCTATAAGATTTAGAAGTCCCCACTACTTCTATCATAGGGTAAGCTCTCTAGAAAGATAGAAAGGACTGAGAGGTAGAGATAGAGATGGCAAGGAGAAGGTTAATTTTCCTGAGGGAGAATCAGACCTAAGGTAGTGAAGTAAGAAAATCGATGCTGAAAATAAATATTTTAGCTATGTTTGAGCTTACTTCTGTTAGAAGGTCCCACACTGAAACCCATGAAATCATTATGAAGGGCTTTTTCTTCTGCAGTCAGTCCCAGCTCCCTAGAATTAGTCTTCAAAAATAAACCCATTGTGTTTCCCTGTGTATTGCATGGCTCAATAACGTCACTTTTTAGCCAGCACAAGTGCTTTGCTTCTAAGCAGATTTTTACTTGTGCTGATTGCCATCAACGGTACAAAATGTACAAAGAGGAAAGAGTAATGGTGGGCAGAGCTGTAACAATCTTTTTTTTCTATGGTAATTATGTCCAAACGCAGTGTGAGCCATCATGTCCTGAAGACGCGCGCGCGCACACACACACACACACACACACACACAATTCAAAATGGGTTAAGACCTAGGGAAGACACTATATACTAAAATACATTCATTAACTAAGAGATCTATATACATTGTTATTTAGGAAACTCACTGAACTAAAATAATTCATCCATGAAGCCAGATATAGATTGAGGGATAGTAAATGCTGTGGGTTAAAGCAGCAAAAGGAGAAAAGAAACTAGCAGTGCATCTTTTAAAACAAGGCTTTCTCAAAGCACCATTTCATTCTGTAGCCAAAAGACATGAAATCAGCAAAGGAACTTAGGGTCTTGAATGTTCAGAGATTGTGGAAAGAAGTTTAGAGATCAGACACTCTAAAAAAGATCCAAAAATATTTATTACATTTAAACAATGGAAATTTCCTGTACATATACAGAAAAGACATAATCATATGTGCAAAATATATATGCACAGACTGTATGACTATGTACATGCTTGTTACAGATGAATTAATTTCACAGTAAATTTTCATGTAGAAAACTACCTCTATTCTGGAAAGTATGAGTAAGGAAGATGTGCCCTGTCAGTGCACATAACAACACAGTGATAAGCCATTATACAATGTCAGCTGAGCTATTATATTGACCCAACACATATGTAGGCAACATCTATTTCTGAAGGGACTCAAGAGATGCTTATGATGCTATCATAGTGAAATGTTGGGTCAACAGACTGAAAAGACACATTATATATTCTTCTGATATTACTTTCCCTAATATATTTTAAAATATTTTTAAAAACAGAATAATAATGAACCACCTGAAATAGCTGATGTACTTACAACTCGATTTTAAAAATTTGTGGATAGTAATACTTCAATAAGACAAAAAGCCATAAGCTTATTTTTCTTTTCTAGATGCTCATCAAGTAAGAAATAAACATTCAGAGGAGATTGGGTGCATTCAGGGTGGTATGGCCTAAGACAGTAATGAATATTTGGAACAGATTTGTTTTCTAGGTGGAATCCTCTTTCCACATCTCTCTCTCTCTCTCTGTCTGTCCCTCTCTGTCTCTCTGCCTCTCTCTCTCTCTCTCTCTCTCTCTCTCTCTCTCTCTCTCACACACACACACACACATACACACACACACACACATCTCCCCTTGTAGGTGTAAATCTCTGCTGTTGGACTAATGATGTGAAGAACCAAGAATGTAATAAAATAGTGTTTTACCTTTTTGCTGATCAAACACAGAAGAGGTGCTGAAATCCATGGTAGCTTGTCTCATCATTTATCATGAGAACGGCAAAAAGTATCCAGGTTTGTAGGAGGAGAAAAACACCCTTTCACAGGTTGCAGTCAACACGACAGTCAGATACAACCTTGCTTCTCAAGCCCCCTGCTGGAGAATTACAAGTGCATTAGAGGTGCAGCTTGTTGTCAAGGTAAATGATGAAAATAGGCAAATACTTTTCATGCTAGGGAAAGAGTTACTCGAATAGCCTCATTTATCAGCTGTACTTGTGTGTAAGTATTATACAGGCTCCACTCCCAAACAGATAAATAAAACAGCCTAAACCTTAAAAAAAAATAAGAGTGCTCATGGGAATCACCTGCTTTGGATCGGGGCCCGGAAAATGCTGCAAGTCACGGAGCTTCAGCAGCTGGAATTTCGCTTTAAACCAACAGAAATCTCAATGAGTGAGTGAGGATTCACAGGAACGTACGGAGCATGTGCAGAGCTGCCAATGCAGATTGCGTTCAGCTGTGCTCTTGGTGGAGCTAGCACTGCATTTGGGTCACGTGAGCTGAGAGTGCCACCTCAATGGAATAGGACGTAAATATTGTAGCAGGAGGCTGCTGGCCATGTGCTGTGCGGAATAATTACCCACTTTGTGTCTCATCTTCAGACTCCCGTCAGCTCGGTGTCAGACTGACAGGGAGGATGGGGTAAGCAGTGGCATCTAAAGATTATATTCAAGGCTCAAGTATTTGTAATGACAAAATTAAAACTCTCTACAGTCAGAAGGATGTTTTTTATAGCATTATGTGTGGTGAAAAATCACCCAAATGTAGTCATTGTCATTTGAGGAGTAGCTGAGTAGATGGTGATAAATTCATATTCTAGACTAAAAGAACAGAGGTAAATAAATCTATGTACATTTATCCAGGGGTGATGTAGCTAATGTACTGTTAAATGAAGCAAACATGTTATATAATGCATTTGTTATATATTCATGAACCAGTAACCACTCACCATATATGTAAATACATCTCTATATGTTTGCAGGAACACTGAGAAAGACACATACTAAACTGCTGATATTATAATTAGAGTAGGGGATTTGTAACTTATTTTTATCAATCTTTGTGGGTTTTTCTTGCCTATTAAAAGTATCTATTATTATATATTTGTAATAAAAATCTGATACAATAAATTCCAACAAACTGTATTCTATATTCTAGACACAATACAACAACCAGCAGCATAGTGGATGTTTCTTTTTCTCTTATTGCATATTTTGTCTGTCCCCATCACTTATTTTCCATTAAGAAACTGGGAAATCTTCAATTCAGTTGCCACTTCCCTGTGGCACTACTACCACTCATCCAACAATGCTATCACTTACTCGATAATACTGCCATTCAATAACAATCCTCTTACTCAACAATACTCAATTTCTTCCTTCAGCCTCTTCCTTCAAAATGACCTGTTTTCTTTTCATTTAAAAACAGATGCAGGGGCTGAGGATTTAGCTCAGCGGCAAAAGCGCCTGCCTGGCAAGCGCAAGGTCGTGAGTTCGGTTCCTGGTACCGGAGAAAAACCAAAATAAATAAATAAATAAATAAATAAATAAAAATAAAAACAGATGCAGAACATACGTCTTATAAATCATTACCCAAAATACACTCCACAGATAAATCTCTTAAATTTCTCAGCACCATTTCCTTACATTAAGCATGACAGTCAAACTGAGGGGCTGAAAGACTGGAAAGGAATCTGTTAACTATAGTAGCAGCTTTTCAGCTAAAGAGATGGCTAAGTTCTTCCAGCTGACAGAGGGAAAAGGAGTTCTTGCCACTCGACTCCAAACAAGTGGAAAACAAAGGATTCAGATGAATTCCCTCCCGTTCCTCTTATCAGTCATTCATATGGGCACTAACCATGTAGATGTGAGCGAGACAGGAGAGGTCTTGACTCTCGGATGAGCTTACATTCTTGAGTGCAACTTCTCCTCTTTGCCATGCTGGAGTCACAGAGACTGGATTTACCCTCCTGACTTAAACAACTAGAAGACTGGGCAACATCACGGAAACAATGGCTGTCCGACAGCAGGCAGCGCAGGACAGTGATCGCGGGAAAAGATTAAGCCTGACTCCAGCCCCCTGCCTGGGCACAGTTTCCAGGTTGCAGTATATGGAGTACACAGTGAGCCAAATGGTTTGTTGAATGATCCACAAAAATGTATGCCAACATTCTCATCTTCAGAACCTGCGAATGTGATTTTACCTGGAAAAGGGTTTTTGGCAGAAAAAAAATTAAGTTAAGGAGTTTGACTTGAAATCATTTTGGGTTACCCAGGTGGGTCTGAATTCAATAACAAGTGTCTTTACAAGAGATGCGCCAACAGCCAAGGGGGAAGGTATACAGATGTGGAAGCAGAAGTTGGAATGATGCAGTCACCAGCCAGTGAACACTTGTAGCATTCAGGAGCAGGAGAGATAAAAACCCACTGTCCCTGAAGACTTAGGAGAGGGTGAGACTCTGCCAAGGACTTGACTTTCCACTTTTGAGCTCTGGAGCTGTGAGATAATAAATTCCTGTTGTTTGAAGTCACCACACTGGCAATAATTTGTTACAGAAACTTTGAGATATTAATATAGAAGAGGAATTCTTAAATGCAAATTTCCCAAAATTATTCCATTTCTGTGGCATTTATCATTATACAAACCAAAGTAGAATGTATACACACTTCCATGTGTGTAAAAGGGATGCACTGGGTTCTTGTTTAAGAAAGGCAATAAAATAGGTGGAAAGGACATGAGCTGAGTTTGTTTTTTGTCAGATGTGCAAATTCAAGCAAACAATGCAACTTTCTGTGCCTCAACATCTTAATCTACAGCGTGGGAACCCCAGTTTCTGAATACTTGTGAGAGGTGACTGCTAGTAGCATTCAGTCTATTTCCTGGCTGCAAACATGGAAAGGCTTCTATACAACCAAAGTCCACTGTAAAATATTGGGTTATATCTTCCAGTACATTTTGCAAATAGGGTGTGTGCCTAGCACCACGGTCAAGATGTAGAATAGTTCTACCACTTCAAAAGTTCTTTCATTCCCCTTGCAGTTCCTCCTCTGGAAAACACATGTCCATATTCAGGGCCTGTGGTACATTAATTTTTATGTAGAATCAGGAAGGGGGAGAAAAGACACTCAAGTCTGTATGGCCGTGCAAAATCTGGCCCCTTCCTTCCTCTCCAGGTCATTTCTCACTGCTGTGCCCTTCTGCTCAACATCCAGCAGTGATGGTTTCTTTCCTTCCTGTTCACTGAACTTGCCACACCCTTGCCCATGCCACAAAGACTTGGAAGTTCTGCCTCCTACTTGTAATGCCTCTCTCCAGCTCAAATGCCAGTCTTTCAGCCACGCTTTCCCAGAATACATTGTCTAGAATACTTCTCCACTTCTGCACCCCATCAGTCACTCTCTTCTTGAATGCTACGGTTGAATTCACAGTGAGAAATACCCCTGCCAGAAAGATAACACTTTTGCCTATGTTGTGACATCTGCATAATTCAGTGTTTCTCAGACTATTGTGAAAGATTAGATATTTATTTATTTATTTATTTATTTATTTATTTATTTATTTTTTGAGACAGGTCTTACTTTGCATTGCAGGCCAGCCTTGAACTCACTTATGTAGACCAGTAATCCACCTTCTTCAGCCTCTCAAGTGCTGGGATGATAGGGATGTGCTACCACGCCTGTCTAGATCAGGCTTTTAAATTTCTAGACCATTATGGACCAATGCATTCTCTGAATATGATGTAAAAGGGGCCAAAACTGTACTCTTTGTTCACTAAAAGTGCATTTAGACATTACTATGCTGTGCTGTCTAATATGATCGCTACTAGCCACATGTGGTTACTTTAAATGAATTAAAAGTTAGTTAAAGTTAAATAGAATTTAAAATTCAGTTCCTAAATCATAGTAACCTCTGTGATTTAACTCTGCGATTATTAAGACCTTTGCCCTTTGATAGGTGCTAGTAAGAAATTAGAGAGACAAGCCAAAGACAGGGAGAAAACATTCACAAAACACAAAACTGGCACAAGATCTGCATCCGAATATCTAAACAATCCTGAAAATTTAATAATAAGAAAACAAGCAGGTCAGTTTTCAAAAGGAGAAAGATTAAGACAGACAGGTCATCAAAAAGAGGACACAGGTGGTAATAACAATGTGGGAAAAAGGCGCTTAGTATCATAAATCAACAAGAAAATGTAAATTAAAGTAACAATGAAATATCACCCCATATCAGTTGGAATGACTTCGATAACAACAAGCCAAATTTCTAGCACATGCTAAAGAGACTGCTGCAATGCTTGTATGTACCCTGCTGATGGGGGACAGGAGGACATGCAGTGTGGAAGCCATTTTGGAAAATAGTTTTGTGGCTTCTTATAAAGTTAGACATAAACTTCTAGACATTTACACATGAAAACAAAGGCATATATATATATATAGCAACTTTATTATCACCCCAAACTGGAAACAACCCAAATGTTCATCAACAGGTGAATGGATAAACAAATTGTGACAAATTTCTATGATGGAATTCTACTCAGCAACAAAAAGGAGCAAACTACTGACACATGTGATCAGTGCATGATTTTTAAAATGTTAAAGTGAGTTCAAGAAACCAGACACAAAATCCATATACCCACAAGGCGTCCTTAGCAAACAATATCAAGATATAAATCAGATGAGTGCTTCAGAGAGAAGGGATGGACTGCTAGGGAACATGAGAGAAATTTTAGAGTGATAGAAATAGTCTATAGCTTGATTGAAGTGGTGGGTACATACCTTGTAATCATTGTTATAGTCATAATACTGAACACCTCAAAGAGTGGATATGCACATCATACCTCAATAGACATCGAAAAACAACACAAATCTTACCTCTATAAGTTAAATATTAATGACTCTAAATTTTAGAAATTATAAATTTTTACTTTTGAATTTTTCTCTCTCTCTGTGTGTGTGTGTGTGTTTGTTTGAGACAGGGTCTCACTCGGTAGTCCAAGCTGGCCTTAAACTCACAGCACTTCTCTTACCTCAGCCTCTTGAGTGCTGGGATTACAGGTGTGTGCCACCACACGTGCACCTCATCTTTAATTTTAAAATCTATCCAAACAGAGACTAATAGCTAACTGGCACTGTGTGATCTCAAAGTATTTTGGTTAACTGTTTATTTAAAACCTTTCATTGACATTGATGATATATACTTCCAGTTAAAATTTTAATCAGTATTGATGGTGTTAGCTTTCCATCATGATGACAAAATAACCAAAATAAACAACTATAAGGAGGTAAGATTTATTTTGACTAATAGTTTGAGAGGTAATGGTCGATTAGCGCTATTGGAATGGAGCCCACGGTGAAATAATCATGGCGGCAGAGAGGAAGGTACTGA